CAGCAGGATGGGTGTCATAAAGTGCAGATCAGCAAAGTTGATGACCTCTTTCTGTTGTCAGAACTTGCTATATGAACAAGCATTCCATCTTTTTTTCACACATTGAAGTCTGCATTTCCCTTCTATATTTAAAAAAAAAAAAAAAAGAGAGACAAATGTTAAGCTTCCGCTAAGAGGAAATCCTAAGAACAATGCATAAAGTAATTGGGAAACTTCTTAAAATTGAATATGTGGGGGATTCATTGCAAAACAAAAACAAAAGAGCATGTTCCTAAGGATATATGATGTGGGGGCCAAAATAATTGATGGTTTTAAATGGCATCCATGCATCATTCCTGATGTTTTTGTAGTTTGAATTACTTACAAGGAGCTTGATGCAATATTCAAATGCTTCTGACCTTGCTATTCTGTTCTTGTTCTTTGACTGGAGGGAAAAAAGAATCAACAACTTGCCCAGAATCCAGTATTTTGCTCTCTAGTTTCACTTTCTTTCTTGAAATCCTTTCCTGTTGTCCTTTTTGTCACCCTGTCTAGATCAGGGCATATTCAAGTTTAAACAGCCTCCGTTACCAACAAAGGGAGGCACAAGCCCAAATGGATTTGTCACAAGCGGTTGCTATGAAGGATCCAGCTCTCCTTGGCTCGAGAGTGCTGTGACCGATAATGTTTATTCTAGTGCTATTTCTGTCTCTCGGCCTCTAGTCTTTTCAGTATTTGGGGGAAAAGCACGGATCTTATTGCCAGAACTCTTCAGAGAGTTAGACGGTGAGCATTTTAATTTATCTTAATGATCTGCAGGCATTTGTGAAGAATCTCCGTCTTACCCAGTACTCCCCCAAGTTAAAAACCAAGATTGCTCTGTCTACTTGTCCCGACTCCCAGATCAGCACACCTTTTTTTTTTTTTTTTTTTTTAGTAGAAGCTGAAGGGGCAGTGTAGTTGTATTGATAAAGCCTATTTTTACCCAGCCTCTTGCCTTCTCCTGTGTTTGGAGGGCAGCCTGGTTCCATTTTTGCACAGTGCTTAATAACGTGAGACTGAATCTGCAGTGATTTAACATGATCAGCTAGAGAGGTAGATTAGGAAAAAATAACCAGAAGAGTTAGATTCAGTCCCTCTAATGAAATGAAGGGATTTATCACCAGCCATGTTTCTAAGAAAGGAGTAACTTACATCTTTATGCATAAGTTTGATATAGACATTCTCTTGTATCATTACTGTGGATTTCAGCAACGGATCATTTTTGGGGCAGGATAGTAAGGAAAAACTGCAATTATTTTCCTGGTAACAAAAAAGACAATCACATGTTTGATTTAAGATTGGGGCTATGTTATAAGAGGTGTTTTGGGGACTAATTTAAAAACAACCCTTGGCTTCTCTTTTCTCTAACAGCTAAAGGTGTGTTTGTTTTGTTTTTTTTTTTTTATTTATCCAGGTGGTGGCCCATATAGTTAGTGTGAAACAATTTTATAGTACAAAAAGGACATTTTGAATAATGCATGCAAGGTACATATATTTATAGAGAGCCGTATCTGCCGATGGCAAAAACAAGTTATAAAAGTTTAATGCAAGTACCCTATTTTATATTTCACTTTTTTTTTCTCATTAGAGTTAACACTATGTTTTTGGAACATAGTAAGGTGATAACTGTTTTAAGAATGTAATTTCTCACTGCTTTCAAGACAGTGGTAAACCTCTATTTAGTAATAAAGTAGTAGTAATATTTGGATTTCTGCTGAATACTGTTTTAGTATCTGAATATTGGCTTCTACTAAATGCAGAAGTTTAGACCTGCAAAGTTTTCCATCAAATAGCTCTTGGTGCATGCTGTCAATATGTAAAGTCAGGGTGGAAAAATTAGAAAGCAACCGTATTAAAGTTGCTCACGTAGTTGGAGTCTGCACTCGTTGCATCTGCATGCTAAAATCTCAAGTTACATCACTGTACGCCTTTCATTTTGCAGGAAACCTAGTCTCATTCAGTGGTAAAGATAGGTGTCTCATCTTGGAAAGAGTAGGTGATGTGAAGAAAAACTATCATTTTTGAGTTTAGGGGATGAAATGGGATGCAAAAGCAGTAAGTTTTGCTCTCACATTACATATTTGAAAGAAGAGCAAACTGAAGGGAATGTTACTCCTGACATTTGCTAATTTTTTTTGAACACTTCTAAAGAACAATATACATCTAATATAGTTTTTTTTTGCTTGTTTGTTTTTAAACGTGATAAAAGGTGCCTTAAAAGTTAGCCTTTAAAATGTTACAGCTATTTTGCAAGTGACAGGAAGTCAATATTTCAAAAGTGGAATAAATCAAAGCCCAAGATAGGTTTTTTGTTGTGTTCACTTGTGCCACAGTTTAGCCTTGTGACTGTGTAATCTCTTCCTTCCGTTTTACATCAGGACTGCCAAGGGTAGTTGACATTTAATTTTTACGATACAACTTGACATGCTTTTGGTCACGGTGGGCATCAGGGAAGTTACGTAGAGTTTATTTTTTGCAGTGGAAGAAATGATTTTTTTCCTCTGGCATACTGTAAGCACTTTATTCCTACTGGAGATAATATTTCAGTTGCTGCGTCCTTTTTCAAGATACTTCTCTGTTTTGGTTTCAACTTTAAAAACAATCAATGTTCTGCACTCACTTTGTAGTGAAATGTATAATTTATAATGTATAATTTATTATGTATTATTTATTCATAGTTTATAGAGTGTCATAAAGTGGTTAGTGTCTTTTACTTCTTTCATGCTGAGCAAAATTTCAAGGATCTGTTTCTCATGAGAGGTACAGCTGCATTTGTAAATTAAAAAAAAAAAAAAGCAGGATTTGACTTTTTCAACTGTATTTAGTGAGGGCATCCTGCCCCAGTTTATTTAAGAGATTCGTGTCTTATCTGAGCATCAAGCTATAAATTACTTTTTTATTTATTGTCTTCGTCTTATAGAACAAACAGGAGAAGATAAACTGGCAACAAAAAAAAAATCCTACTATGTGAGATTGTTTCCCATATGCACAGAGAGGAAGAAAGATGCATACAAATGTTTAGCATGTGCAAGTTTCTTAGTGCATGATTGGTTCCCTACTTCGGAGTGGAATTCAGTGAAATAGGACTCCTCTTTTAAAAACAAAGAGTAAGTGCACAACAAAGGATAAGTGATCAAATGATTAGCCAGAGGCTAATAGGAATGCAAGGGAAGAGTGACAGATTGCATATTAGGAGGAAATCTGATCTGGAAATTAAATTGAAGCTTTCTGCAGCTGAGCCTGCAAAAGAACTAATTTTAAAATCTTCCTGAAGTACATAAATATATCAAAGTTCTGAACTGCTTGTGTAAAAGCATTGTAGAATGCAAGAAAGAAGGCTAAAGTTGAATTAAAATTTAGAGGAATTTTTCTTTTTCACATACGATGTTATGAAAATACATCTTTGCTTAGGGTGAAATATGCATCTGCCTCTATCTTTAGCATAAGAAAGTGTGCTGATTTTCTTACAAATTCTGGTGATGTAAAAATGCACACGCTGCAAAGATCTGTGTGGTTGAATCTTCATTCTCCAGTATGAAGATAGGAGAGTAAAATCAGGACAGCAGATAAATACCTCACCACCACCAAGCAACAGCTACATGTCAACAGGGGGATCTACTCAAATACGAGAAAAATCAGAGCTTTTAATTATAAAGAAGTGAATATTTCCTTATTTAGTGACCTAGCAACTGTTTTTAATTTAACCTTGCGGTAGGTAGATGTCACTCTGTATTAATACAGTTCCCTTACTTTATGGGGACTGCAGTCCCTTTCTTCAGATTTAATGTTAACTGCTGTGGTACAGCAATGTCAGAGTCCACATATTTTCCAGGGTTCAAAACACTCATTAAAAAAAAAAAAAAGCACTCTTAAAAAATTAGTTTATGGAAGCTCACTGTCTTACCTCTTAAAAATTTATGTTATTATTTTAATGCGTTAGTAAATACGACACAGTAAAATTCTAAATAATTACTGAATGCAAAACAGTAAAATTTGAGTGCAACAGATTAATTTTTGTCAAGCTTTAAACATAACTGAAGGCATTTGTAGGCACGTTACTAAAATTGCTTGCTTTTGACAGATGGAAGTTTCAAGGAGGCTTTGATATTTGTTGAATCTGTTTGTAAAACTTGATGCTTTGAGTGTTTCTCTGCTGGTTTCTGGGTCATATAAATGCTTGATGTTTATGGTAAAGCAAAAAGTGACATGAGCAGTATGTGAAGGTATCAGGTTAGTATCAGTTGTAATAAAAGTATAAGAACTCTTATTTAGGCCTTAGATCATTTTATGGAGTAAAAGAGAAAATTGATACTGTGAATTAGCTTTTGGATTTATTTATATGCATCATTGCTTTCTTATGAGTAGAAATATCAGCAATCATCATTCCCTTAAGAGTAGCTAACAGTTTCTCTTCATGTTCACAGTTTCTGCAAATCTATGCATGCAGTATAAGAAGAACCTTTCCAGTCCTGTTCTTGTGTTTAACCTTGTCATATATTTTTTTCAGTGCAGCATGAATTGAACAACAATAAAAACTGAGTCTTCATGAAAAATCTATTTTATTGATAGACAAATCTCATGATTTACTCTCATCGTTGTTAACATCTAATAAAGAGTAGGGAAGGAGAAGTGCTGCAGCCTTCAAGTCTGTCTCTGGCTTGTAGATCCGTACTCCTAGGTAAAGGGCCTGTCCTGTGTTGTGTTGTTTTGTTAGTCCCTTGTCTTCTATTTTCCTTGTTTCAAGGCTCACATCGTAACAGCCTCTTTGGAGGCATTAGCTATCATCAGTACAATACTCAGGGATTTGCAGCTATTTTTAAAGGAAGCACAATGAGAAAATAAATTTTGACCCTGGTGCCATGGTGTCTAATATGTGGCTGAGATGTTCCAGTCGTCACCATGCTGGTTAAGCCATGCTAATTGTTACAAACAGAGATACTGGTATTCCTCTACTAAATCTGCTCTGCTTCTGTTTGCAGCTATGTCATCTTATCTTTTAATTGTTAAGACTGAACTTCCTGGTGCTGTCGCGGGCTTCTTAAGTGGAGACGAGAGCGGGTAAGGAAAAGTGCTTCAAACCTTATGTATTTATCTTGAAGAAGAAAGTGGTTCAGGACTGCTGAAGGAGATGGGTACTGACACTTCCCTCTGATCTCACATGCCAAAAAAATTAGTCGTTTACAGGAGTTCTTGGAATAAGAAATGTATTTGGCATGTGTAAACCTTCTGCCGCGCGCACACAGAGAGCCTATTTCTTTCCTCGTAGTGATTTCCCATCAGACGACCTTAAAGTCAGTGGCAAAACTCCATCTAAAGAAATCTCCCTTCTGTAAAAATTTAAAAGGGGAAGCAGAGGGGGACAGGAGGGAGAGGAGGAGAAACATTTAAACTGCTGTCATGTTATCACTTAAAATATTTCAAAACCACAGTACAAAATCCAGCAGACATTCAAATTTAAATATTTTGTTGTCTTGCTCCAGTAATTGGACTTGCCTTGGGAAAAATGCCAGGTTTCCAGACTCGGTTTATAATTCCTTAACTTGGCTCTCAGTAAAGAAATTATTCTTCGCAACTGAGCTATAAAGCTGTATGTAATGAGTGCGTCCCTCAGATTTCTATTAGAGCTGTCGCAAGGAATCTGTGCCTGCGCTAAAACAAACATTGCAGCTTCAGCACTGAAATATCTTGTTCAAGTTGTTCCAGTGCTGCTGTCACTCATAACAGTGTATCTTGCACTGTGTCACTGCAGTTTTTCCAAGCTGCTATTTTCAGATGTTTTGAACTCAAAACTTTCCCTAGTTTGAAATTTGCTGAAGTTCTGTAAAGGTTGTGGGATGTTTGTACTGTACTTGAACGTTTTGTTTGAATTTTTAAGTTGAAATTCGTTTTTAAAAGTTACTTTAGTTCAAATTATATGTTTCATTTATATTTTTTCAATTTTATAAGGTATGCTTTGAAAAATCATGTGGTGGTAATCTTCCTGCCCTCTTTATACCCTCACAATAATATATATTTAGTAGAGAGCTTTAATAAACGATTATGTTTCATGTGTAAATGTCATTTTTAGTCCGTTAATGTATCTTTTCCAGCTGTGATAGTCATTAGCATTTCATTTGGGTTTTATCACCTACTCCTTCATAATTGCGCTTTCAACTCCCTTGTTCATATAGAGCGGTGTTGAGCCAGCTACTGTATCTGCTGGGTGTGTGTTCCCATCTGACCATTTCGGTATTTTTAGCATAAAACATCACTTACTGCGCTTTCTTTGAATTTGCTGTCAGCCTTGTTAATGCAAAGTGACTTTTCCCAACAAAAATACACCTTTAAACAGCTCATGAGTACTCTTAACAGGTAGAATTTGGAGGTCCCACATGCATACATATTGGCCAAAATATTGTTCAGTCTAAAAAAGGCAGTGTAAAAGACTCTTTTATTAAACTACCTATTAGATAATGCTCCTGCCAGCGTTTGGTGTTATCAGGGTCCTGATGCAGATCTTTGAGAGGAGAGCACTGGTGAACACGCAGACAGGTTGCAGTGGCTGAGCCAGTTACTACAAATGATGTGAGCCACAGTAATTCTCGCTGCGCTGTCAGCACCACCACCACCCATACTTCTTCCTTAGCTGAAATTACAGTTTGGGAATGAACTTCAATTTTGCATTTAGAAAGAGCTGAAATTGTCCATAGGAATACTAACCACAGCTCAAATGGCAAGTTAATTTTCAGCCAAGGTCTTGTACTGTGTCTGCGTCTGTTACTGGGAGTTATTCCATTGATCGATGTTCTTTGGACACATTTTGACTCCTCTATTCTTTGCCCTAGCAAATTATTCAAATGCAGTGGTCAGTTGGTATTCCAGCTGCAAGGACATAGCTGACTGTCCTGTGTATGCCCATGTCCATATTTCATATATTATGTTGCCACATTTGTTGTCATGATGAATCATAATCTTTTGTCTCCATGCATTTCTTGATATGGAATATCAATTCTAATATCAGATATGGAATATCAATTCTAATATCACTTTCATGATATTAGAGTATCTATTCGCTAAGAGATCTTAAATTGTACAAAATTTTCCAACACAAATAGGTAATCAGCAAGCCAAAGCAGCAGCTTATGTATGCAAAGGGCATAAATATTGCCTGCTTTGATTAAACTGTTTTAGCTGGCCTACTTGTTTCCAGATGTGGTTACACAACTGCTCTGGTTTTAAGTCAGTGTGGCATCTGATAGGCATTCATTTGGGTGCAGAATTTGTCTTTAACCGTAGTTAGAATTTATCAGATGTGTCAGTGAAACTATCTGTGAAAAATGTTTCATACTCATATGCCATCCCAAAGCATACTTTGAGGAAAGTCACCTAAAGAATATTTTGCAAATTGAATTATTCCTGTAGCTAAAGGTAAGCAGGTGTGCATGTGTTTGAAAGGATCAGACCCAGTGTGTAATGTACCTTCACGTCTTAATTAAAAAGCAAAAACACACAATTTAAACACTTGTTAATTGAAGCTGAGATGTTTCACTCTGTCTGCATAACAAGAATTGTGCGTAGTTTTAATGACATGAACATAGTTTCAAATGAGGATTGTGTTAAAAAGTTGTAATTTGTGAGCCCTCTGTTAACATTTAATGACCCCGTCAGGGGGATATGATTGATGCAATTAAGTTGTCTTGCTTGTGTGTTATATAATTGATATGGACTGAGAGTAAGATCCTAATTTAGAACATATGAATCTCTTGTCCTGTTGCATTCAGGAATGAAATTAAAGCAATTTATAAATGTCTGCTTTTAGTTAAAATATGGGGGAGGGAGAAGGAACATCTGCATGCCAAAGTATTTTCAGTAGAGGCAAGGATTTATATTCTGAATTTCATACTTGGAATGCGTTTATCATGTAGGATTATATCTGCAGATTAAACTGATTTTAAAGGAAATATAAACACATTTATTCTGCCTTTGGAAAATAAATATATTTCTACAATGGTATTTTGGGAGAAAATAGACACATTCTTTGATAACCAATAGCTGGCCCACTGTTCTGGGTGGATTTTTTGTCATTGTTTTTTTTGGGGGGTGGGGGGTAGAGGAGTAGGTTGAGCTCTTATAAATAAAACTTTTTTTTTTTCTCCTTCACATCACCTCACTGAAATTTTACTCTTTCGTCTTTCCCTTCCACCGTAAGTGCTTTTGTTTTCATTTACTATAAAGTAACCCAAATCATTTTTTTCCTTGGGCCTGTTGAGCTCGTGAGCAAGTATGGATCTGCTGCATGTCTTGAATTGGGTGACTTAAAATAGAAGCCCCATGTGTACATATCTGAGGCATTTTAGTTACCTTTAAGCATAATGTTTCGTTACCTTTAAGCATAATTCTTTATACTTTGCCTGCTCTCTTGTTGCTCCTAATGTGCACATCCACCTGTCCTAGGAAGAAAGAAAAAGTTTAAAACTGTGACCTGTAAGTGTCAACAGTATTACTTTCAACAATATTAACAATACTACAGCAGGCAGTTGATCTTGGCAAAGCTGCTTTTTAACTGTAGCAGTAGCACGTGTAGACTAGTAATACATTTTTTGAAGAGTGATGTATTTTGAGTTATTTTTAATACAGATATTGTCACTTAAGAGTTACTTTGATTCAGAGAGGGGCAAGATTTCTTCAGCCTTGAAATTCCTCTGTTCATTTACGTTACATGTATTTATTTAAACAAGTGACACAAGTGGTTGGCCACCATGTATGACAGTCGTTCATATGTGTAAGTGGTAATTTTCCTTTAACGCAGGTGTTACACTACTCTCCTTATGATAACTTGAGGTGCTGCCTGTTTATTAGGTGCTAACCATATCCTGGACTAAATAAACTTGAAGGTCAAAGGCCAAGGTGTTTATAGGTAGTAAAGTCGGAGGCTGATGTGCAAGATGTTTATCAGTACAGGATATGGTGGTTACCAAGTTTGGGGGAGCCACCCTCAAGATGTTTCTGTTTCTTAACAGCTTACACATCTGTACTTTCCTCTGTCTGAAGATGAGATTTCCACTGCATTAAGACTTCACATGCCTCTATGGTGCTTTTTATATGTATGTCTTTATGTATAAGCATTGTAGCAAATCTCATTATAATAATTTCCATCTCTTTTGTCTCCCAGTTGTTGCAACAAATGAAGGATCACTGTGCAAAATTAAAAATAAGGAAGTTTTTTTTTTATTGCTGCTCTTTCTCATTTTACCTCTGGACAGGAAACATTTCGAATTAACTTAAAGCTGATTTTCTTGGAGTTTTCCTCTATTATTTGAACCCTGTGGCGATAGGAATAATGAAACTTGGGCAGAACGGAAAGTTGCCGTGTTTAGAAAATATAATGGAATTTTTAAACCAATGGGTTGAGTTTTGGTTTGTTAGCTTTACACTTCATACCTCTTGGAAATGTTGAGGAACTAAGTAATGCAGGAGTGATAAACTGAAGGGAGGTTTTTCAGAGAGTGGTTGAAGTTGACACTTCTTCTAATAGTGGAAATAGATAACTTGATATAATCCAATTTGAGATACGTGTAGCATGTTGTGTAATCACTTCTATTGGAAATCTGTAGAGCATGCAATACTCATGGCACTCTGATCATTGCTTTGAATAAAGGCAGGGATTCACATACTGTGCTGCTGAGAAATAATTTACACACATCAGACCCCTGCTCCATGCAGACCCTTGCCCACAGAACATTGCCTGCCGTGCCGCTTCGTTATGAGATGGTGCTCTGCTTCCTTACGGTCTGGGAGCTCTATTTTATATCACAGTACAGACACTGGGGGTAAAAACCCTGAAACTGGAAATTATTTAGTTTTATCCTAGAGAATATTTTGTCCAAGTTCACAGTTTTAAAGAAAACATGCTTTTTAGGACTCATGAACTTCGGATCAGTCCTAAGTAGCTTTTCCAACAGGTCCTGGTACCTTGATGGGAGACTGCTGCTACTCATTACTTCGGTCTGCATTGTTTTTCCCCTTGCACTTCTTCCTAAAATTGGTGAGTAATTAAAGGAGAGAAGCGAATATTATTCTACTTTAGTAGCAATTACAATTGAGGACTTTAAAACCTTAATGGGTTATTTATTTATTTTAACTGGCAGGGGGCTGGTGATGGCGGGGACTACTTAAGTTGTTGTAGTATGTTCTGCCTTCCAGCCCTGCCTAGTTAACCTATTACTTGGGTTGCAGTAGTATTTTGTCTGCAATACTAAAATAAAATCTTTACAGCAGAACATTAAAGAGCTGCATTTACTTACAGCATGCCATTAGTGGTAAGCCAGTTCTAATTCTGCCCTACAAAACTACATAAATGATCTGTGACAGGCAGTTGGAATGTTGTTATTCTGAGTCCTAAGCCCCAGATACCAAGCACTGTAATAGAAAACATGCCTAAAATGTAAAGCTTTAGCTGTACATTAGGATCACTTTCCTTATAAATTCTCTTTTATTTTTACTGTTATTTTACAGGCTTTCTTGGCTACACAAGTAGTTTATCATTTTTCTTTATGGTGTACTTTGCTCTTGTGGTAAGTTAAAAATCAGTGCACAGCTTATCTATTTTTTTTTCTCTTATTGTTTAAATGTTTTCATAAGTCTGTTTTGAAATGAATTGTCTTCCCTTCCCCCCGTTACATTTTATGTAGAATTCAGAGTTTTCTTTGAGTTCAGTATGTGCCTGCTTGGACAGATTACATTTGTTTTGCTGAGGCATGGAAATGTGTATGAACTTTCAAGCATGTGAAAAGATTTAAAATAATTATATTTTGGACTGGTAAATGTAACAATATTTTTGTTTTGCTGACAGTGCAGTGAAGGGAGCTGGCACACGTACTTTTGTTTCCCTACTAGTAATGGAATAGAGTTCTGTTTTCTTAGCTTCTAACTATTACTTACTTCAACTAGCGTAGAAGAAAATTTAATATACTCCAAATAAATTAAATTTACATGTACAATGGAGTGACAGAGTTCAAAAAAAGGCAAGGAAAACTAGAACTTCATTAAGGCAGTTTACAAGATTCATTAATACGTCAATGACCTTATTCTTCTTTCCTGCTGAAAGGAAAAGTTCTTTTCTCTGAGCCATATGGGATTTTTGACCCTGATGTTCACCTTCTCAAGGCCCCTGTGAGGTAGATGTTTCCAAATATCTGAAGTGAGACCTACTAGGCAGATCTGAGAGGAAAAATATTGCACCCTTTCTGCTTTTTACAGGGAAGAAGTATGTTAATGCACATGTGTTATATGTAGTACGACCATGCAACTCACTCTCTGTCATCGAGGTAGAGAATCAAGAATCTTTTTGGGAGCCTGGAAAAATGTTCCCCCTCTCTCCTGTCATTCTGGCCTGCATTGACTTGCATTTAATACCTGTTTTACAAAGGGATAAACAGAGTTGAAGGCAAGTTGAACAAACATGCCATCCAGGAGACCAAGGCAATCCATTAGGAACTAAACCATGTGATAAAACCAAACTTCAAAGCTGTCAAAACATCTCCCTAGGGTATCCCTGGAGAGCTGCAGTGTTTGCAGGACCTTGGGAAGTATTCTTCCGAAGCTTAGCATTGAGGAGCAGCCACAACCTCTCCAGAGCTAATGGAAATTCATTTGTAATATTTATAAATTACTTTAACTTTTGACCTCTTTCCTAAAATTTATCTTAAAAAAAAAAAATACACAAAAAACACCACCAACAGCAACAACAGAGTTCTAACTGTAATGTTGAAATAGGTCTTGGGCCGAAGCTATTTGCAAGAGTTTTTAAACGAGTCCGATTCTTATATTTCTTTGTGAATTTGCACAGATGTCTGAAGAAAGCTGTTCTAGTTCATGGATGCATTTGAAAGTAATTTTGGGCTCAGAGAAAGCGTGTCTGTAAACAAGACTTGCATGCAGACATGACAAGCCGTGATGATTCGAGCTAGGGTTTAGACTTGATTCGCTGTAACAGAAAAGCATGCAGGGAGTTCTAACAAAGGAGGGCACATTTATTATGAAGTGGTAAAAATTGTGTGGTTGATCTTTGTTGTCAAATGACAAAGAAAGAGCCACCGAAAATCTAACTGAGGTAAAAAAAAAATAAATTAAAAAAAAATAATTAAAAATTAAAAGCTGTTACAGATATTTAAAGAAAACTAATGCTATTCAGAATATTTCATCTGACTTCTTCAGATACTGAAACTCAAAGGAATTAACTGTGGTTTAGTTTTCATATCTAATTGCTTTGAAGTGGGTGATACGTGCTGTTGAAATGGTGTTTTAGTTTGCACAATGTTAATTTCTGTACGGCAGATATGCTTTAATTTATTCCAGAAGAAGGCTGGGTTAGTCATATGGAAGTAATACAATCATATTTTGCATATACAATAATTCTATGCATTTTCAAGTGCATACCATCTGTTAAGCTTTTTGCCAGCAAGCCACAGTTTTGATACAGCATGCAGAAAAGGTAGGTGCTATAGACAGCGTGTCTTGGTCCCTATGGTCTGGTGAGTGCACTGAGTCGAAGGGCTGGAGACTGTTCTTGTGCTCTGCTGTGGGACTTTGGCAGGTCACACATCTCCTGTCTGGGCTTCAGCATCTTTTTCTGTAAAGTTAATACACTGTTTATAGTCTTCATTTGGAAAAAAATGAAAACACTGAGATGAACTGATGAGGAAGAAAAAACACGTATGTACGTAACTATTAATTGAAAGCCAGATTCTGTGAGGTCCTGAGCACTTTCTCTTGTTTCTGGTTGTTGAATACCTTCCTGATGTGAATCCTAACTGAAGAGGAATGAAATGTGAGCATTGCACTTTTTTTATTGCCTTCCCCCTTGCTGCATTGAATATTGGTGAAGAGTAAAGACAGATTTATTTATTTATTTATTTTATGGAGACAGCCCTATTGGTAGCTTGTTCGACAAAGGTGTTAATGATTCCTGGTGGTATTTTTCTAAATCTGTTGTTTACGTTCCCAGAACAAAATGTGAGGCAGATTGGGAACCTGCCATATGTAACGAATGATGTTATACACAGAGAGCTCCTCTTTGCTGAATGCTGTTAGCACTGCTGAAATAAAGGGGTTCCTGTTCTCCCTCCATATGATACAAAAAAGCAACATCCCCTGAGAACGTTAGAACATTTTGAGACCTCTGACTTTATTTTTAGCAGTGGTTTTGGTGTGGGTTGAAAATACCCTATTTCCATTAAAATCTGTCTTTAGGTTTTGCCTCTTTTTTTTTAAGTTAAAACCAAATGTTTGTTATACTCAAAAGACAATGTTTACGTGGAATAGGCTTAAAGTTCCAGAGGAGGATTGTCTGTGCTGCCTGCACGCCTGCTCAGCTCACTGAGCTGTGCTGCCAGCTTAACAACCTCTTCCTGTTGGCAACTTCATTAGAAATAAAGAGCATACTGCAATCAGGAATCCAAACAGATTTGAATAATTAAGCAGGTAGGCAAATAAAGTTACAGATTTGAAATGCATCTAGTGCATTGTCGTCTTTTGTTTCCATTTCAGTTTGTTCTTAATCCGTATCCATTTCATTTTAGAGGAATGTGCTCCAGCTTTTATGGTTGGCTTTTCTCGTCACCCTCTGACCTCTGCAATATTTATATGTAAGGTTGCTCGTTGGCTTGCTAGAAGCCCTGCACCCACACCCACCACTGCCAAGCACAGCTTATTTCCCCCCTCAGCTCCATGCAGCTTTTCATTGCTTAGGAAGCCTGTTCAACCCTTAGCCAGAGCTCTGACAAAGCCTTTTACTTTGGAGCCTTCAAAATCTCTCCCTTATTTTCCCTATCTGGGTACCTTTTAAATATACAGATCTCCTTGAAAAACTATTTTGCTGTCTCATTCAGTCTCATAAATGCCTTCAGCTAGCCAAGAGCCTTGGGCATCCTGGGGAAGTATCCAGGGCTGTGGTGCAGCAGTCTGCATCTGTGTCCGAGCTCATCGCTTCTGCTCACTGCCTGAAAGGAAGAGATGGAGCAGGGGTGGCCCACATCACAGAGGCATCCGTGTATGTAAAGGCCCAAGTCGTGTTTTGGTGTTAGGTCCTTTTCTTTTTCCTCTGCTCACTCTTTGGTTGAGCTTCTGGATGTACCAGCAGCATCATCTCCCTTCTTCCACCTTTCCTCGGGTGGCATTGCAGTTGACCTTGCACAGAGGGAGGCAGTTCGGCCAGTCAGGAAGCAAAGAAGAACAGACCTGATATTAGGCACTGCCAGTTTAGTGTCAGAAACAGGGTTGGAGGAATCCCATTTTTGCTTATCATCCTTTTTCACAAAGTTTACGGAGTGCTGTTGTGCAAGCTGCTTCCTGGTTCCGTTCCTTGAGTCGCAATTTGTTTGAATCCATGCAATTTAAGTTGTGTGTTATTGCCACAACACTCGGCATGTTGTGTACCTGCTATTTCCTTGCCCCCCAGTTTGTCCCGAGGTAGCATTCCCTTGCTTCTCTTGGCACTGGTGGCAAGAGAGAGCACCTAATCCTCGCTCTCTGGGAAGCACCACTTGGCTGCAAGCAAAAAGCAGATTGAGCCAGAAGAAACACTGCCTTCCATGTTATTCTTCTTGTGAATCTGAGTCTTTAATTAAGTTTTTAATTATTTGCTCTAGGCTTCAAAAGAATTATAACCTCTAAAGCCAGGCAACTACAATAGGAAATTAATTAGGGTGACGAGAGCAATATAACTATCATTTCAAACTAACCTCCTGAAAAAAGAGGTAACGTTTCTTACTTTAATTTCCCTTTGATTTTCAGCACTGTTACTTGGCAGTCCCTAAACCAGCAGGGTGTAGCTAAAGCCCCAATGACATTCTGGGACAATAATTGCATTTATTGTTTTTCCTTTGCTTTCTAGTCCAAACCATATGTTTCTGCCTTTTAAGATTAGCCCTAGGCTCTGCTCTATCTCTGTTAAGGGCTTGTCTACTTAGCGAAAGAGCCTGGGATAGCTAACACAGCAGCTATTCTGTATGGGGGGCAGTTAGTGTGGAGCACAGAGAGTGAATGCGGAGCACTGGCTGTATTTCTGTTAATGTCATAGCTCATTTCAGTACAGCACCTCCAGACAGGCAAGCCATAAGGCTGCCAGCTGTGCTCAGTGAGCAGCTGGATGGAATGGCACGGACAGGCTTTTCCTTCAAGCCCCCCTTTCTGTAGCCCAACTATCCACTAGTCAAACTAGTTGATTTACTGTGGGTGTAGCTGCCTGCTTTGTACACCAACTCTCCACTATTATCTCTATGTATATCTAAACTTAACCCGATTTTTAGGATATCATTCGTACATTAAATATGGTGTTTTGCAGGTTATGATAAAAAAGTGGTCCATCCCGTGTCCTCTACCTCTGAAGAGTGCAATAGAACCTTTACAGGTAAGGTACATGCTGTTTCGAAGTTCTTCTAATTTTATTAATAACTGGAATACTTTTTTTTTTTTTTTACATTAACACTTCCAGAATTACTTGTGATTTAAATTCCTTCTTTTCTTAGCCATCGCAGTTTTACTGTCGAGAAACCGAAAAGTTTCATGTCTGTGGTTTGGGCTCGTTCTTTCATTATGTCATGTTTTTTGCATGTATGTCTTACAGGTTTCAAATTCTACTGCGGATTGTAAAGCAAAGCTCTTTCATCTTTCAAAGGAGGTAATCTCTACTAACAATAAGCTAACTAAAGGGGAGGGTGTTAAAGAATTGGGGTTTAATCTCTATCCAGGGTAAGCTAAACTTCTGTAAAACTAGTTATAGGCTGCTGAAATATTTCCTATACCTACTGCCAAGCGTTATCCAGTCTCTCTTTCTTTTTTTATATGAAGGCTGGGTGTCCAAGTTAGCATTTAATGAAAACACTTTGCAAATGTGGCTGAAGTATTAAGTATAACAGATTCAGCGGTGGTCAGCCTCATGATGCAGTCAGATCAAGCCGACTTCATGTGCTGGAAGTCAGCGCTGCTTGACTGTATGCACACTTTTAGTTCCTTGAAGAACAGGTTTACTGAAACTGCCTGGACCTAATCTTTGTTTTTGCTTTCCTGAAGCTAATTCTTCAGGCCTAATGCAATCTTGTGCATTTCATTGGATGCCAGCTTGGGTATTTGTTAATTAATCTGGCATTTAAATTGTGTCACCACCCACTATGTCTTGCAGGAGAGGAAGTATTATAGGATCATGGAATCATTTAGGTTGGAAAATACCTCTAAGATCATCAGGTCCAACCGTTCACCTGGCACTGCCAAGCCTACCATTAAACCACGTCCCTAAGCTCCACATCTGCACGTCTTCTAAATACCTCCAAGGGTTGGTGACTCAGCCTGGGCAGCCTGTTCCAGCAATTCACCACGCTTTCAGTGAAGAATTTTTTCATAATATCCAACCTAAACCTCCCCTTGGCACGCTAATCTCTGCTGGTTGAAGAGGAAGGGGAAAAGAGAAGACTAAGTTTGGGAAAGGCCTATAGCATATTGGAACTCAAGAGGGCTGCAGTTGGTTGCATTTTTCTGAAAGAACAAAATCTGCCCCCCACCCCAAAAAAAAAAAAAAAAAAAAAAAAAGAAAGCTTGGGCAATGCAGACATCAGACAAATGTAAATGTAGATCAAAGAAGAAATTCTATTTTGACCAGAAGCATCTACCATGATGTTACAGCTTTTGGTCTGGCCTTTTGTACTTTGTAGAATCTATACTGGGTTTTGCCTTTTTAATTTTATCAATTGAAAGTGGCATATTTTTTACCAGTATGGACCTTGTTGTAGTTCAGGTTATTTTATACTTTAATTGCTACTTGGCAATTAAAGTAAGCTACAGAAGATGATTCATCTCTGCTAGTACAAGTTTTTGAAATAACATACCACTAATTGTGTGGTTACAACTTTAATTATGTAACTCTTTTAAAACTTCAGATGCTAAACCACATTGTGTTTGCTAGATGCTGTATCCATTTTTTAATTAAATGATGAGAAAATAGTGAAGTCAGGGTTAAGGGAGTCAATAATTTGATAGGTAGCTAAGGATAATGAAATTTAGAAAACTTAGAAAATTTCATGGTTGATACACTGACTCGGGGGCAAATCCTGCTCTTACGTAAGGTCTTGGCCTCTCAGTTGTTAGCTTGCTGACATGCTGTCTGATGACCTCTCCTGATCATGAAATAGTAAGCTGGGAACAGCACCTGAAGAAATACCAGTTGAAAAGGTCCAGTTCTGTGGAACGGTTCAGAGGCACCATTCTGCATTGTGAAGATTTATCTTGAAGCATTAATATGGAAAGATTTTGTCTTCCAAGGCTTGCACTGAACTCTGAATTAATTCAGATAATTTTCCAACCATCTGTAATAACAAAAAACCTAAAATATGTTCTTCTTCTATTTTAGAGTGCTTATGCAATACCAACTATGGCCTTCTCTTTTCTCTGCCATACCTCCGTCTTGCCGATTTACTGTGAGCTCCAGAGGTAATATATGAAAACACAGGCAACATTAAAATATAATGGTAGCTTTCCTGTTATATTTTCCCTAAATTAATGCTGAATATTTTAGAGTCAGTGTTGTCAAGCAATGCAAAGTCAGTAGCCTTCATGTTTTTGGGAGGTGTACAGCTCTAGTCTGTACTGGCTTTTCCTCTCTTACAGGAGAGAAAAGTAGCAAATATGGTTCCATCAGCAATGTCAGTACATTGTCCTGGCCATCTGGAGAAAAAAGGTCTTTTGCTAAGGTACTTCCTAGTTAGTTTTTATTGCTGTAACTGAATCTGCATTTCACCAGATTCAGTGGATTTTGGCCCAAATTCCCTTCCTGTCTCTGGATATATATCATCCTTTATAAAGCAAAACTTTGATTTAAAAAAATAAAATAAATTATATATAAATATGTATATATACACTCACATATATCACTCTGGCATGTCTAAATTCCCTACCACATGGGGACAGTGTTTGTTGTATGAATGGAAAGTGCACTTTAATTGCAAGATTAAAAATACTTTAAGAAAAACAAGTGTTACTGAGAACATAGACTCGGCAAATAACCGTGGCCATAAATTAAGAATATGCTTTCTTATGAAAGGCTAACTACTATGTTTTTTTTTAATAATGTAGATTGCATGTTGTCAGTGGTTCACATTAAACAACACTCATTTTCTTTTTTTTTTTTTTCATTTTAGTCCATCCAAAAGTAGAATGCAGAATGTAACTGTCACAGGAATTGGCCTGAGTTTCCTAATTTACTTTATGTCTGCTTTGTTTGGGTATCTGACATTTTATGGTAAGTATGTTCTCCAAGTATTCTCTAGAATGCAGGCTAATAATAAATGATGCATGCATTGTCTGGAGAACTTCAGACTTGTTTATGCATTGATACACTTAAATCCTCAGAAATCTTGGTCCTGTGAAGACTTAAGGATATGCCTAATACTGCAAAGTGCTACAGTCTTACTGACTTCTCAGAGTAGAAGTGAAAGTCATGGACTGTGAGAGAAATTTTGAGATCTGGTGGCAGAGTCTGCTGGTCCAGCAAGTTTGAAACCTCTCTTCTAAGGCTGTATCTTCAAGCAGAATTCAAAATGTCTATTAACCCTGTGATATCCCCACTTGTTTTGCAGTCTCTAAGTAGTGCTGAGGCTGCTGCCTTTTATGTAAGGGTTGTGACCTTCAGCAAGCTAGCCCTGATGTCAGGGAGACATGAAGATTTGCAGTCACGTTTGCCTTGTCTGATACAGCTTGGGTACAAAGCATGTATTGCTTCCTTGTTTTGTTTTTGGCTTTTTACAAATTTATCAGAACTAGCACTAGCTATTTCACTCAGAATCTGCTGGAAGTGTAGTTCCTTTTCTAATATAACAGGAAGTTTTATTTTGAAGGATTGCACAAAGCGACTTCTTTGTGTTACCTTTTCTTCATGCACAAGGTAAAGATAAGCCAGAGGACTCCAGAAAAAATAGGCAAGGAAGATAAGAAAATGAAAAGTGCTGAATCAGATGAAAGGTCCATCTAATTTTGTGGCTTGACTTCAGTGGAGGGCAATGATGAAAGGCTAGGGAAGAATTAAAAAATTTTAAAGCATAAGATTTGAGTTGGTCTTCCTCATACATGCTTCCCATCTTCAATAATTTGTGTTCCATGTGGGTCCTGAGCTGGAGGTGGTATCTGATACCTTTTCTGAACCAAGAAACACACATTTCTTAGAGATGTTATTGACATAATACCTGATAAAGTAAATATACCTTTTTATCTACCAAACAGAAAAGTGGCAATGAAACTGTCCCTACTAAATTCTACGGATATCTTCCAGTTCCATTTGTTATAGAGCTTACATGACAATGTACTTGAGTACCAATTTAATAACCCTGTGTTTGGACTCTTGTATACTTTTGGGCATAGTTTTTCAGTTGAGTTAAAAGACAGGTGACTGCTATTCTTGTGTTTTGCAAATACTCAGATTTCCAAACTCTTATCTACATAGTGACTTTTTTTTTAAGGTCCGTCAGAATCTTGGCAGAAGTAGGTGTGCGTCTGTTTCATAAAGCAATTTTAGCAGTCTTATGTAACAGAGCTAGCAGCTGTTTTGTCATCTTCTGAACGGTTAGCAGTTTGAGAGTGTTTTCATTATTGTCATATAATGTCACAGCGGTGCCATTTCTAGGAAATGTCATTTATCTCCCAAGCATCCTGCTTTAAATTTGTTGTGCTGTGTTTTGCTTAATGTAGTACATGTTTTCAGATGGGGTTGCCTCTGCTTAGTGATCTGTCTTCTGCAGTTTTATCATACAAATGACATCATGTAAGTGCATCACAGTCACCTATATGGATTCTTCTAATCTATTCTGAAAACTCACCCTTTATATGGGATGATCACATGCTAGCCTGTCTGGATTGGAATGAATAAAAATTCTTTTAAGGACAGTAAGACAATAACATTGAGGTATTCTGATTAGGATTTCCCTCTCCTTTTCAGAGTGTTTTACATTTCTTGGTCATGGCTTTGAGATAGTGCTTGACAAAGCAGCAAGAATGTTGGCTTTCAGCAGCTAGCAATTCCAAATTTCTAGGAAGTTTTGCACCTTGTTTTCCAAGTATTAGTGTATGTCTGACCTTAACTGTCTAAAAATGTTCCCTTGATACTCAGAATTCTTACATCCTCAGAAAAATTACATGGGGAGTCTTGAAACCCCTAAAAGCGTATAGGCTACTGTTAGCATTTCCTTATTTAACTAACTGTCTCCATATGATTTGTAGGAAAATATAATTTTAAGTGCCACTGTGATTCAGGAATCAGCGCACGATAACCATCTGTCTCTGGATGAGATCTCAACAAGAAGATCAAAGAAAAAATAGTGTCCTAGAGACAGTCCCAATTCCCATCACCTTCAGTGTTATGGTTTCTCTGGGGCAAGGCCTTTTGACTGCAGATTTCTAGTCTGTCTCACTGTGACCATTTCTGGTTTTCTGCAAGCCTGATTTATTTTAGTAACTGACTCAAGAGCCTAAAACACCAGAACCAATAGTAAATGTCTGTAAGATATTACTTTTTTCCCTTGCAAGCTTCTGCTCCTTTTTTAACTTTCTGGTTGTCTTGTTTAATTAACTTACTTCTTTAAATAGAGAGAATCTGTTCTCTGTTCCTAAAACACTAGTCCAAGAAAATGCAAACCATTTTATTTTAAATTGAAAACAATAACAACAACAAAAAAAAAGTCTTTGAAATGAGACATATTTCATTTTTTTGTGGTTCAGAAGTTTTATAGTGTTTTCTGCAGCTTTGAAACTTCGTACACTGACTGGACATTGGTGAAAATGTGGTCCATTCTGAACTCCAAAAATGCATACGTGGTCAAAGGAGCAGGCTGCTTTCTGGACTCTGACTTTTGCTGTCAGTTTAGCAGTAGTGAAGCTTTTCAGGTTAAAAGGGCAAATGTCTCAGACAAAGGTGAAGGATGCAGGTGCTGATTCATCACCGTCCCACTTCTGCCTTGAGTAGTACAAAAGCTACTCTAGTGGTGAAGATGTACACATGGTGTATGATACTGTAGTAATTCCACAGTAGACTGGTTTTGCAAAGTTAAATATGCACACGATGGAGATCACAGAAGATTCACACTCTGAAGAAAGTAGAGCTGTGATACGAAAGTTTTTGGTGTGGTCGGTTGTGTTACCAACACAGTCCTCTGTTGTTCTTTGAGTGCTATAGGAAACCAAATTGTCAGCCCTTAGGTGTCATTGTTTTGCACTTTGCCTCTATTTGGCGTGGAGGAAAATCAGTCTCAAGTGTCAATATATATATATATTTGTTGTTAGAAATTACATTTAAAAGTATACCTGATGCTAAATATTCTTCTCCGTGTCATCCAGCAGTACACCAGTGTTATGGTGTGTATATATGTGTGTATATATATATATATATAGAGAGAGAGAGAGAGGCAGCGGATAAGAAAAGCACATACCCTAGCATAGTTCTTAACATTTCTTCCTTTAAATTAAATTGCAGCTTTTATTTCAAATCGTGAAATTTTACCTCACATATCACTTAATGTTTCTGGAAAAATAAAAAAGGGAAAATGCATTTCAGTCAGTTTAGGAAAGTGAATTTGTTCCTGGTTTCTAGTAGAAGAAAAAGAATCTGGTGTTGTCTGTTTCATACAAATAGAACAAGTTTTACAGTACTGTATGCTTGGCTTCATTTCACATATCCCTTTGCTTTACTCAGCAAGACAGCAGACTGAGCAAAAATAATACAATTTGTATTTCACACTACTGAAGATTTTTTACTTTTCAAAAGGTATTTGTGAACTGTTTTGTACAGCATCTGTACCAAACTAGATCCTAACCAAAACGAGTCTCCAAATTGAACTGTAGCAGCCTCCATGCAGGTATTTGGAGCCTAGAAAAGTAAATCTAGATGTTACAGTATTGCTGACGTGTTAGGATTGGAAGAGTTATGTGATGACTTAATCAGTCAAGTTGCATTTTCTTTGTTTATTGGTGAAATGAAGCCCCTGCTTAAGTTTCAGGCCCTTTGTCGAGTGTCAGTGTATCTGGTAGTCCAGACTTAGACTAAACCCACATTTTAATTTGTGAATGGTGCTTTTTGTTATCTGTTCAAAATATTCCTATTGAAAAGATTTAAGACTCGTGGATACCAATATCTCTACGTTTTCTTTAGTTCTATGTGAGATATTTTCAAGAGTTTTCTAGACTTTACCTGTGTTGTTAGCTCATCGTTTCAAGCCACTAAACTTTGTCTTTTATTTTAAGCCTAGCTAATGTGGCAAAATTCAGGTAAGTTTAAACATTGCTGTGAGTGGATTGAAAGTTTCAGAACATGTATCTACAAGGTTGGAATATCTTTTTACTCCTTCTTCCTCCATATTTGTATCTTAGATGGCTTTGGTTTCAGCAAAGGTTCTATAAGGTCTTGTAGAGTCTTGCGTTTTGAAGGCTTTATTATTATTACTTTTAAGTTTTCTCTGGGTTATGTATCAGTTAGAGCTGGTATATCAGCGAAGCTTCTGTGTACCCCCTCCTGCTCTGCATTACTTTAATGCAAAATGATCAATTTGAATGTAAGCTTAACATGCATTGCTAATTATTTCAGTGTTAGATCTCAGGTGATTAAGAAAACAATTCATTTTTCTGTTTTTCAGACAAAGTGGACTCTGAATTGCTGCAAAGTTACAACAAGTACCTGCCACATGATACTGTCATCCTGACTGTTAAATTAGCCATACTGTTTGCTGTGCTTTTGACAGTCCCTCTAATCCACTTCCCTGTAAGTACTCCTAAACATTTTTAAGCTGGCATAAGCAATGGTAACACTAATGCTTTGCAGACTGCAATATTTGAGTCACATCTAGTCTTGTGTATCTTATTCACTTGTCAAGTGATTGATCAAAGACCACATATTTGCATATGTTCCATGAGAGCTCCAAAATAACAACTAACCACTAAGCTAATTTGTGCTCTTGAGACAGATTTCAGATTAAAACTAGCCCACAGCATTGTTTTTAATTTAGAGAATTCAGAACTTCTAAAGTTTATTTAGTTTGATTTTTTTTCCCTCTTAAATTGAGTTTTGCTGACTTGGATTTTCCTTTCTACATGCACGCACACAAACGTACTTACACTTGAAAACTCAATTTCATTGTAAATTGAAAACACATATTGACTTATTTCACCACTGGAAAAAAAATACTTTAGCTTATCAATACCACGGTAGGTTTGCTAGAATTCATTCAGTTATGACAAAAAACAACAGTTAAAACTATATATATATAATTGATGTATAGATTACATACAAGTTGGCAGCTGTGTTACTTCCTAACAGGCATGCTCAAAGAGAGACAAAAGAGTATCCTCCAAACCTTTTATTGTCCATGCAAATAAGGAATTGTTCCTTAAGACTAAGGGCCCACATGATAAATATTGCCTTAATACTTCAGTTATTTCCATGCTACAGAAAGACAAAACTTCATTTAACTCTTAGCAAATTATTTTTGCATTTTGATTTAAAATGTTCTTTCACATCTGAAATGATAAAATTCTTGTTTATGAAATTGAAATAAGATTAGAATATATGCGTTTATTTACCCATGCAATGTTTCTCTTCCTTTTATGCAGGCAAGGAAAGCAGTATTGATGCTATTTTTCTCTCATCTTCCTGTGTCATGGATTTGCCATATCTTTGTCACTTTAGCACTGAATACAATCGTTGTTTTGTTTGCAATGTATGTGCCAGACATTAAAAACATGTTTGGAGTAGTTGGTAAGTTGTTGTGTTTTTTTTTAATTATTTTTATTCAAGAAATTCAGTATTATGATGAGCTAGTATATTTTAATCTTGCTCCAAGTAAAACCTTACTTTCTGTTTTTTAAAGGTTCAACCACATCAACATGTTTGCTTTTTGTATATCCTGGACTATTTTATCTGAAGCTTAGCAGAGAGGACTTTCTATCTCCACAGAAACTTGGGGTATGCTTTATTCCACTTGTGCTAATTATATTTAAAGAGGCTTATTCTAGATACATCTTAATGCACTGTAGAGCATGTAATCCAAGGGGCAAAGTTCCTGTTTTCATTGCAGTTCGCAAAATCTGTGAGCGTTTTCTTTTATCGTTCATGTTAGCTCTGCTGTTTCTGAAACTCCTTTTTTACAAGACCTCTTAGAGTAGCAGTATGTCTGTGGGCTGGACCACTGATCCGAATACATGCTTTTCCCTATAGTTTTCAGATGTCAACTTTTAATCCAGTTTCTCCTTGTTTTTTACGCATTACTCTGATGTTATGTGGGCAGCTGGGACAAAGCCAAACTGCATTTAAGTGAAACAGTGTTTATGCTTGTTTTCAGTGTAAGCCTTCTGGAAAACATGGTGATTTTTTTTTTCTTTATGGTTTCTCTTTTGGCACAGTATGTTAAGCTCAAGTTGGAATTTGTGCAGCAGCCTGCTTTTTGCGCTGTTACTCTGCTTCTCTTCTTTTTAACCACTGATCAGTAGAACAACTCGGTGACAGTGCCTAAAATGCCAACAAACTGCTTATATGTAGACTATCTGATACTCCTATGATTCACAGGGCTGCTCTTGTGTTGATAAAATAGAGAACCTGGAAGAAAATCTTGTGATGAGGCTCTTCTGACCATTTAAAGTCTTGATTAGTTACAAAAAAAATTGTGGCCTTGTTAGAAATTCACAATCTATTTTGCACTGTGGTTTCCTTATTGTGAACTGGCTGTTCAGAAATAAAGAATCCATTGTCATTTAAATTTTGGTAAAATACAAATTCAGTTTCTTAACTCATTCAGAGCTCTAAAGGGCTAAATATGTTTGTTTTGTTTTGTTTTGTTTGCAAACAGGTCCATCTATGCAGTTTTCATACTGATACTGTTAGCAAACTAAACTGTTCTGGGAGTTTCAAGTGAAACTGTCTCAGAGCAGACTGAGTTTCATTTTACCCTAAGCAGACACCTTGTATTTGAAGACTGAATAATTGCAGTATAAAAAAATTATTTGAAAAGACTTGTCCTTACAGGTTTTTTCATCATCAGTCATAAGCTTTAGAAATGTAAAATGCTTTAGAAATGTAAAATGATTTCTTCAGTAAAACGTTAATTTTTCTCTTTCTTTCTTCACAGGCATGTGCATTGGTTATTTTTGGCATTTGTGTTGGTCTTCTCAGTTTAGTTCTAATAATTTTCAATTGGATTAATCAGTAACAGCATATTGTTACTGTCTGAAGTGGGCTTCAGGAGAACATCAAGAACCAGAGATATGTCAAAACTACTGAAATGAATGTTGAACATCCCAAAGAAATCACTGTCGAAGAAATAATCCTCTTTTTTTAGTCCATTAGTAATGTTCCTTCTTTAATCTTGAGAAGGAACTCTCCAGTTACTGCACAATAAGTCTTTGCCATTCTAAAATATTAGTTTTTAATGATGTAATCATGACAGGTAAAAAGATCTCTTGAGAATTTCTGCAATGCAAAAACAGTTTAATGCACATGGTGAACAAAAGCAAAACCTTGAAATAACTTTTCTTTTAGAGAGAATGATATGGACAGATTTTATATCAATCATGATGTGCATGCCACACGTTATCCTAACAGTGAAAGACTTCTGTTGCTGGAATAATTTCCAAAACTTCAGCCAGTTCATATTAAGAACTTACTGATTCCAAATGTTTACCCTAATTTATCCAAATATGGATTCAGAAACCAAGAGCCTTAGCCCAGTTTAATGGGCACATCGTGGTAATTGTTTTCTTGAATACAGTTTTATACCTCTGTGTACTTGAATCATATTGAAGTAATTTTTAAATTAGATGCTTTTTCCCATCTAGCTTAATAGGTTTTAGTAGCATTAGGAAGTCTCAATTTTCAAGTTAAAAATAGGTATCTTTCAATTAATGTCTGCTTTTGAATGTTATTCAATTTACCTCAGTATTCCTGATGGTGGAAAATGTTTCTTTTTCTCTCTTACTCCCATTTCTACTAGTGTTTCATGTTTGAAATAGAGCATATCTAAATGTTATTTACTGCTGTGTGTCGGAGGAGGTTTGGGCTTGAAATGTGAAATTCTGCCTGTGTCGAAGTCAAAGGAAATTTTACGTTTATGGAACCTTAGTTTTACCCCAGATCTCTAAACTTTAATGTACCCTTCTGTAATTCTTTCTTGGCCTAAATGGAATGTGACTGCAATTTTCAACACCAGCTGGGCTCTGTCATGTATGGTATTGGGTGCCCACCACAAAAGTTCCTCATATCTTCCACTGCTTTCATTCTACTAACATCATGGTAAACCTTCTTAAATTTGTTACTATCAGATGGAATAGGATGGCTTTAAAATACCCTAATCTCTTTAGAGACTGTGTGCCCTAAAGAAGTTAAGCCTCCGCAGGAATGGCTTGTGTAAAGTTAAGAAATTAGACCTCAGACTCAAATGGCTTGATTTAGAGAGTGGGAAAGTTCTTCATTATTTCCAGATGCAGTATTTCTTTTAATTTAGGTTAGCACTTCTACATCTGAGAATTGGTGTAAGACACAAACAAAACATAGCAAAGTAATTTATCTATGTAATTTGGAAGCAGCTAGTAAGTGCCACTTATATATATTTTTTCTGTCCGTAAAGTGCACAGCTAGTGCACCTTTCTCTAGCTAGAAAATCCTGCTGAAAAAATTCTGTTTATATGTTGATGTATGTTTTATCATTTGGAATAGGGAAGATGCCCCAGCAAAATGGCATTCCTAACTTCTTAGCAGTGGGTCTGTACTATTGAGCTGCAAGTGCAAACAGATCACTCAACTCTCAGGATTTCACTTCTGATAGATGGCCTGGAGGCACCCAGGTGGTGTTGGTTGTGCAGCTTGGTACTGCTTCAGGAATCCTTTGTGCCTGGGGAATTTACTTCTGCTTAGGAGTTTAATACAGAAATAGACTTGAGTGGTGAGGCACAGGCACTAACTCAGAAGTTTTGTTAGAATCCCCATTCTGTAGGAATTGTTACGCTATATTCTGGAAAAGATTGCAGTCATTTTTATCACAGAGCTTCTAGAAGAGGTTTCACGATGCAAGGTGAGCCATCTAAGAGTTTGTCACTACCAGAAACAGTGTGTTCACTCTTGGCCAGAAGGTCACAGCTACTTCTACAGCATCAGCACTGGTGGTGGCTCAAGCGGGTGGAGGGAGTGGGACTGCCTTTTTGAGCAGCAGCAGCCATTAGATGAGAATATTTTTCTCAGAAATCTCATACTTGACCTCCTGAAGCAAGCTGTGTACGCAGAGCATGCCTCCAACTTGAGAGGTCTCTGGCCTCCTGGGATCGAGGGGTCAATCAGACAGCTTCTCAACTGTTGTGTGAGTATTAGGAATGGAGGCTCTGCAGCTTGCCTTTGTTCTTGCAGTTCTTTTTCAACTCTGCATAGCCAGGTATAGCCACCTTACTGGCTGTGGCTACCCTGTGATTGCTGTTTGACAGGCTTTGGGGTTCACTATAGGGGTGGACTATAGGGTTTCAGCCACGCTGGGTATCTCTGGCAGCAGTAGTAAGAAGCTAAAAATCTACTTTAATAAAGTGTATCTTGAGAAATCAATGATAGCAGTAGATCAAGAAATTATTTTCTGACCTGAACCAAAACTTTTTAGGAAAACAGGAGACGTGTCAATGAAGTATAGATTACTTTTTTTTTTCCAGACACTAGGAATTAGGAGGAATATTTCTTAGAATTGGGAGGTTTTATGGAAATTGTTTCTCATTTATTATATGCTCGTGTAGCTTACTATTGAGTGGAAGTTGTTAGACATCATTGCAAGTCACTTTATTTTAAACTCTAAACAGCAGGACTTAACAAAGAAGATTTATATCATCTGTGAAGGTGCTGAAAGTTGGCAAAGTTTTGTTAAGCCTTTGCTCTTACTTTCTACCTCTGAAAAAGCTGAGTCTTGCCCTGCACTGCAACCCTCTGCTCATACATAGACAGCTGGGTTTGTGTGCATCTTGTTAAAAAATGGGGACTCACAGAATACCTGAAATAAGGTGTCAGTTTTACAGTTGATCCTTGTAATGCTATGGAAATCACTACATGATTGTTTTTAATCCATGGGTACATGAGCCTGGCTATTAACTAACTGTCCTGGTAGGTAGGCTCTGGAATGATGAATACCAGTGTGTGAAGTTAATACACCGTGAGGATGAAGGGAAGCAATTTGCACCTCTGCTGGAGCTCTGTTATTACATTTTGACTGCAGGATAGGAGCACATTGCTGTGCAGAATGTGTGTTATCTTCTACTTGAAAAGAGCTGGAAATATGCTGCTTTTAAGAAGCTTGGATGATATGTAACGTAAAATGTGGGGAGAGGGGCAGAAAGAGAAAGGACTTAGAAAAAGGTGCAAGCATTTTCCACTATGAAAAAACAGAGTAACTATTTTTATCCTCTGAATCTCTCTCTGTCTTCTGTTCATTATGGCTGTGTAAGGCTTTCACTACGGTTGTACACAAGCATGAGGTTTTTTGAGCTAAATGTATACCCACTCTGGAGCTTTCTGCTGACTCATGTGCTGCTAAATATATTTTTCTTCTTGTGCACAGATTTTTTTGGGCTATATTTCCACATTTCTAAATTTTAGTGGTTCTACTTTATTATCTGTAGCTACCATTTCTGAACTCACTTGGCAAAGTTGCCTTTTCCCAGCTGAACAAGAAGAACAATGTAGAGATGAAAATTATTTGGTAGCCTTTGATTTGTTTTCATTCTCCTATTTCCATACCTTGCGAGTTTAAAAGCTGCTCACATTTCAGATGGACTGTGATAAGCTGGATGTGGAAAGTGTGTCAACAGTATTACAGAAACGAGTACTGCTAAACAAGAGTGTTCTTAACCTGTCTTTGTATTGTGACAAACACTTGTGTTTTACTCCCATATTTCTAAGCACTTTGCATCTTAATACTCGTTTTCGTTGCAGTAAGTTTGTTTAAAATTCTCTCATGGCCCTGTGTAGTGAAAACTGAGACAGTGAAGCCATCCTGCCCTCTCTCCGTCGCTCCTTTCCCCTTCCCCTCCATTTCAGTTTTGCATTAATGCCAGTTCTGTGGCACTGGGCAGGAACGTGCCATTAGTTGAGCACTCCACATGGTTATTACGGGGAGTGCAGTGTGGGTGAAAGGTCTGCCTTTAGTCATGCCTCGTGGCTCTGGTTTTCAATAGGTGTCCACAGCTGGTCATTGCCAAAGGCCAGGACTAGATGCAGGCAGGGCTTTTTGGTGTGTGCCCGTCATGTCTGTCCTTGTAAGAATTTCTCTTTTTGGAGCATGGAGACATCTTAACTTTGTAACGGGAAGCCTGTGCTGATCTGGAGTTCTTAAATCATTTTTGTCACACGGAGCGTACTCAAGGTGCTGTATTTCCTGCCCCTGCAATCCTCCTAATGAGGACAAAAACATGATGGTCCAAGTGAGCTGCTAGGGCAAGTGCTAAATCCTACCCAGCTTGTAAACACATTGTTTCCATGAGAGAGGATATGGGCTTGTACTTCATTACTGTGTTACTGGTGCTGCACAAATTATCACTTTGGTGTGGATCTGGAAGTCAGTGCTCCAAATGTGTTCCAGTCTCATTTAAAATAAATTCCTAAAATTAATTTTTAGGATTAATTGTAAAGAACATGAAGTATTTTCATTAGCATCAGCTGGTGCTCTTTCAGTATTACATAGGATACGTGAGGACAGAATCGTGCCTGTTTTGGATACAATTAATTGCTTCATTATCAATGCAGATGTGTACCTTTCTTGTAAGCCAGCTCCTAAGCTCTTACTGAGCCAAAGTGAGGTTCAAAATTCTGGATCCTGCTAATTCAGCAGCCTGGGATCTTTATTTGGCTTACATTGATAATTGTATAAACAATAGAAGGGGATGGACGTTTTACCACTGCATCGCTTGCAAATGCTTGAAGATAATCAAGTTGTTTCCAAATGTCCCTACGGAGATGGAGATTAGTGTTACCTCTGTAGTGGGCATCCTAATGTGCTCTCAGAGATTCAACTTTCGATCAGACCAGGAGCTAAAGTAACATTGATTGCTGCAGAACTCCTTTCCTAATTAGATTTAACACTTAGCCCAAAATTGTTGTTTTACAGTTGACTTCTATGTTGAAAGCATTCATTATATTGTTCTGCGTACTGAGAAACCTTGCGGCACATCACTGCCTAATGACTGCCAGTGGCAGAAAGTTTTCAGTGTTAAAAAAGAGCTGCCTAACTTCCACAGTTTGTGGTGATGTTTTTTTGTGTTTGTGTTTCAGTTGTGCTCATTCAACCGTGCTTAATGTGGAGCTGAAATTCTGTTGAAAATAAAAAATAATCATCTGTATGTAAAAAGTGCCTAGCTGATGTCTGACCTGTGTATTGTGCAACGTGTTTCCTATTCTGAATTCCCTGTGGAACAGCTGGGGTATGTTCCGAAAAAGCAGAAAATAAAGAACAGTATTTGCATAACTCATTTGTTTGTCATCTTTCCTTCCCTGTGCCATGTGTGTAGCCTGCCCGCTTAGCAAAGCAAACCCAGTGCTGGGTTCTCTGCCCTCGGTTCCTGAAGTGCGATAGTGTTGCTCTTAGCCCCAGCTTGGGCTGTAACATGTCTCTAGCCATGGCAGGGAGATTTCCTTAAAATCGTTCCAGCAGTGCCTCATTTGGTGTGTTCTCCTGTGTAATCTTGTGTGATCCCCTCTCTGAGTGCTGATGTCTTGCAGTACCCAGCTTGCAATGAATGTGAGACGTGCTCCAGGAGGCTGCTGCTCATTGATCCTCTAGGACCTGTCAGCTCTCAGCAGAGTTTCAGCTATGCTCTCCAAAACATAAAGGGTGAGAGAAATGCAGTAGGCTTCCTCACAGGTATTGGTTTCAGCCACAGCAACCCTGACTCTGCTTTGCTCCTGTGAAATGAGAACCAGCAGAAGAGATGTGAGCAGCCACAGCCACACAGCGTGCCCTGTGCCAGCGCTGCCTCCAGGCATGGATGGTGGGAGCTGGGCAGGGCAAAGCAGGTGGAAAACTGGAAAACTGCTCGTGGAAACTTGCACTGGAAGAGCCTTGTTGTGTGGCAAGGTGAGGGGTGGCTGGCAAAGGCAGAACATTTCTCTAAGGAGCGGTAGCAAGAGGGGTGGTGGCTGCGCTGGAAGGGCTCTGGGGCAGGGCCCTGCTTTGGGGCTGTAAATCACAGAGCTCTGATTGCTGTCCAGGCTGACAAGCTGTGAGCACAACCCCAAGCACCCTGCAAAGTCTAAGGGAGTCCTGAATTGAATAGGAGAGAAAAATGGACAAACCTCATCACTGTACTACTGGCTCGATTCCAGAGCTGTATGAATACGAGTGCGCTCGTCACATGGAAATGAGCATCGGCAAATTTGTGTTTACTTAATAACGTTTGCCCCAACTAGAATTGGTACCAAATAGCCCCAGAGCTGCGTTTTTCAAGTGCAGTGCTTTATTTTGTCCTGCACCACAACAGCTGCTTATACCTGTTTCTGTTGCTGAGTGGGTCCTGTCCGGGCTTGGCATTTCACTTGCCTCCAGCATAGCTGCTCGCATGTTAGTGGTTTACACAGCAGCCCTAAGACGCCAGGCAGCTCGCTGCACCTGGTTTAAATTTAAAGCTCGTTTGCACATGATGTCACACTTTTATTGTCAGCATGGTGAAGGTCAAGACAGTTCATTTTGGGAAGGTTTGCATTGTTGAGTCTTTACAGCGCAGCCATTAATGCCTTAACCATCTGACTTATATTTCAGTTTTCTGCCATGATGTAATCAAAGGCACTAGATTTATACGAAGAACAGGAGGTTGGTGTGGTAGCTAATCAGCCTGGGTTGCAGAACTACCTTTCTGGAGACCGGGGTGGAAATGATCGCTCCGTTTTGTCATGCAGCAAATCGTGGGTCTGGCTGGAGGAGAGCTGAGAGGTCTGGAAGCTGGGTGGTTGCTGGAGGCTGCTCCTTCCAGGCGTGCAGGCAGAGCTGCCAGCCATCCTCCCAGGCAGCTCTGCTTGGTTACAGGATTTACACATGGGGATCTATAAGGGACATAGGACGTGCTGATCACTGCACAGAACCTGGAGCAGATGACCAGGAAAACCTCGGGCCCTATTCTCACCTCCTCAAGCTCTGCTCTGCTGTTTCATTTTGAACCTTGGTCCAGAAGCGGGGCTTTAACACAGCATTTCCCCAGCTGGGTTTGTGCAGCCTGTGGCTGTGGATCTCCCTGCAGGAAGGGTTTAAGTAGCCTGTGTATTTTACAGCTTTGTACGGATCTGGCACTGGGGATAGCTCACAGGACGTGTAGTGAGATTTTTGCTTGGGGATTTTGATGAACAACTTCCACCGCTTTCAAAGAGAGAAATGACTGAATCCATGCTTTTTATTGTCTGCGGTTCACCTCTCTTTTTCCAAATGCATAAATTGTTATTTGATCCTTCAGATCTAACATTTGAAAGGCCTGACCGATGTGACAGAGTCAGCAGTCCGGCCTCGTGTCGGTGAACACCGAGCACGGAGACAGAGGCAGTCTGGACAACATCTGTGCAAAGTGTCCCTCTTGAGCCCCATCTTGGTGGCGTGGAGGCTAACTTCTTTAATTGCCAGTCGTTGTGCAGTCACAGGAGCCTGTCTGGGGAGGGCTCCTCAATCCCAAGTTTTAGGTAGAGACGCAGGGGAATCTCCTCTATTGCTCCCTGGCCAGGTGCTGGCCAAGTCCTTCAGGCTTGGAGCTCAGGTGTATGGAGAGCTGTAGGACTGTAGAAGTCCCATGTGGGAGGTGAGGTTTGCTGATATGAGATCTTTCTGGAAGCCACTTGAGTCAAAGAGAGGGAGCTGTGGCTGCTAGAAAGCACCTGAGCTGTGACACTTCCCTAAGTGCCTTCCTCTGCTCAGGCTCTGGGGGGAATTCTGGGGGGAACACAAGGCCATGGGGCAGATTTCTCTCAATGAATTTATGTGGTATTTATCCCCAGGATGTTGATCCGTCTGCCTCTCCCCAGGAGCGCTGCAGCACAGCCAGGCCCTGCTCACAGACTGCCATGTGCAGGGCACTGACGATGAGGAAAGGCAGAGGCAGATACCCTACCCATGGGCTGTGGTTCTCAAAATCAGGCCCTGGCACATTTGTTGGGTGCTGAGGACTGAGACATTCCCATGGCTCTGTGGGTTTCATCAGAGTTGGAAGGGGCCAAGGGTGGAGGCGAGTGCAAATGGCCGCTGAGGCGAGCAGGCCCCTTGCACGAGGCCGTCCCCAGGAGCTGTGCAGCGATGGCTGTGTTTAATGCTCATCAGAGCATCACTGCTGGAGCCGGCTCCGAAATCAGTTGTTGAATCGGCATGGTTTTTTCCTTTGGTATTTCCTGGCACGGTTTCCACTGCTGTTTACAAGTCGTTTCTTCTGGAACCATCTGAGCAGCAGGAACGCTCATCTGGGCCTTTTCCAAGGGGAGATTACTCGAACGATGGTGGAGAGACGTTGTCTCAGCCTGGCTGCCAAATGTTAGTAAATGTCGTCTGTCTTGTCATTCCTTAATCTGATGGTTCAGTTCGGTGGGTTGGAAGCCAAAGAATGACGCTTGCCTGAGGGATGCAAAGCCTCAGGCTGGAAATACATGGAAATCACAGATGGATCCCTCTGCCCCCAAATTTTGGTATTCTGAAGGTTGATATTTGACTTCCCTTCAGCCACCCAGGCCAGCCTGCTGGGGCAGGGGCCTCGCATTTGCCATTTCTTGTCTATATTTGTCCAAACCCAAGCCAAGTCCTGGTTTGGGTGCTTCCCCACCACCCTTGGTCCCTTTGTGAGGGTGCAGTGCAAACACAAGGGCTTTAGAGGTCCCAGGAGAGAAATCTCCCCTTTTGAAATGAACCTTAGCACCAAGAAAAGAGTCTCTTAAAGACGTGATCCTAAGCACAGCGTTGCTCTAGGCTTAAAAAATTCCACCTACATCGGTGTTTTGATAGCTCAGCGTCACCCATGAGGCTTCAGCTTCTGAGACTCAGGGGATGCTGCAGCAATCTGCCAAATGGAGATCTCGAGGGGCTTGGGGATTCTGGGCACGTTTCAGCCCTTGCTTTGACTTGCAGGGTTTGCCTCTCCTGCCTTCAAGGGGAATTGGATTGCTCCTTTGAAGGTGTTTGCTCTTGGGATCTTTCCCCTGTGAAAGAATAACAAAGCAGCTTTGGCTGTACAAATCAACTTGGAAGTGAGTTATAAAGTGCTTCCCTTCTATTAAAATTCCTTGTCGTCCCCCTAATCCCCACAGCATGCTGTTAAACGAGCTCTTGAGAAGCAGAGCGCTGAAGTCACTTCTTGTATTGCAGAAGGATCTCGCTTAACCGGGAAGATCTAAAAAGCAGAGCCCCACGGACGCTGCCTCTACAAACAGGTGAGGTTTTGCTGGGGACCCCGAGGAGCTGACAGCCCGTGGATGTCCCATGCTGCCCAGCACCAGAGGGTGACAGGTATACCTGTGGGTCAGTCCCCTGTTCTGTTATGGTCAGGAGCCTAAATGCCAAGGGCTTTAATGAAAGCTGAATCTTCAGGATTCAGCCCTTAAATCACTTGGATGTTTCTGAAAATTTCAGGGGTTGGGAGTAGGGTGGTGGGGTGGTTCTTTTAGCAGGAATTTCTGCCCTGGACTACCCCTGGCCATGAGCCACCCACACATGGGGTCTCACTAGTGTAAATCCACCAAAGAAGAGCATCATTCCTTGATCCTTTAATGCCAGCTGGTGAGGGGGCAAGTAGGAGGCCATCTGCATGTTTGTCTTCCAGCCTTGTGGCTGCTGTAGCTTGGAAACCTTAATTAAGACCCAAGAGCCAGCTGAAGCCAAGCTGGGTTTAGCTGGAGCCAGAGAGGTTCACAGGGGCTCTCTTTGCTGGTCGTTAGCACAGCAAGGCTGGTCCTGGAGTGACATCTGTGGTGGGAAGCTGGGGACAGTGCCCCCCCATGCTGTGCTGGGTGTCCCTGCTGTGGGGACGGGGACCGGAGCGCCCTGCTCGAGGGCTCAGGCTCTGCCTGATGGGAGCGTGGTGCACAGCTCCGTGCCGCTCCCCGCTGGGTGCCTGGAGGGGACACCGAGTGTGCTGACGCCAGATGTTTCAGCTTAATCAAACTGGCATCATCTACCCCCAAAACAGCTCCTTAGAGAGATCCCATGGCCCAACCCCAGGCCATCTTTAGCTTTGGGGGATGTGTTTGAAAGCACAAGGCACCAGCCCTGCTGTGCAGGGGGGCTGTGGGGTGAGGATGGGGACATCGGCACTGCTGCCCCAAGGCTTGGCAGCCTGCGCCTCCCCACACGCATGGTTGCCTGCTCTGCCCTCACCCCGGAGATGGTCCTGCTGTGGTGGTCCATCTCGTGTCCTCATTCTCTGTCTACAAGGAAACCAGAGGAGAGCCCAAGGTCAAAGCCTGCACTCAGCAGCTTATGATTTGGCTGTAAACACGCTCACCTCTCCACAGG